GAGGTTACACGAGCCGCGGCCTCGGAGTTCTCTCCTTGGAGGGGGTTAAGCCAGCCTCACCTCAGCCAGCGCTCAGCACGCCCAACCACAGCTGCAGGGCGAGCGCTGCGTTTTCTCGCACCAAGTCTTATTCTTGAGGCTAGTTCAAGCAGCAGTTTTAAATCGTCATAGTGACGGAGCACTTTCAACATCTGCACCTCATTAACTTCAAGCCTGCAGCATCTCTGAAGTTAGTATCAGTACCAGATTCAGTCAGTTATGTACACCAATGAAGCCTGCAATTCCATAGGCATCTTTTTCCATAGTGCAGGCTTACCACTGTGTATTGTATTGCTTACAATAAGCATTTCTCATATTATAAATTTTATTTATACTCAAATACTTATATTGCATTTCTCCACAATTGTATCTATTCGTTGTGTTCTTGGCAACTTCTTAGAAATCAACTGATTATCAAGCATAACCATTTCGGATTAGACAGACTTTCATGCAACATTTTATTGTAAAAAATAATTTGAGATTTACAGTCCAGACCTCAGTAAGGTTAAGCACATTTTACAATGTGTTCCATTCTGAATGAAGCTGTACTTCAAGAATTAAGACAAGAAAATCTGGTCTAACTGTAGATTCAGAAATTCTGAATGAAGCTGTACTTCAAGAATTAAGACAAGAAAATCTGGTCTAACTGTAGATTCAGAAATTCATTGTTACTGGAACCACTAAGTGAAACCAACAAATACAGCAAAAGCTGGAGTAAAGCTATTGCGTGGTACTTTTATTCATATGCATGCAGAACAGCGTAGTAAGTTTTGAAATAGCACTCCAGACAACTAAGCCTATGCTAACCAGAAAATACTCTAAACTAATGCTAGTTGCACAACTCTGCAAGATAGACATTTAATCATTTAATGGCCAGACACTTTCATGAATGATCTTCTACGCCTTTCTGCTTCATTGGTGCATTCTATCTTCTCCATATAGGCAGCTCATTTTGCTCCTGTTTGCATAGACTTCCTTTCATTAGCCGCTTTTTGTTTTTGCTGCATAATTTCGGAGTCTCTGTGAAGAAAAAAAGTTGAATTTAAGATACTGGCTCACTCTTTTCCTAAGTAGAGTCTCCTCCAGCTTGTTTTTGCCCTTTAGCAACCCCCATTTCAAGAAGGGAAAAAAATTAGTACAAAACTTCTCAGTTAGCCATGAGCACACTGTTTCCATTATCCTGTTTTTTTCAGTACAGTACCCCATGAGATAGACAAGTTACTCGATTAGTAGACCTTATATAATTCTTTTAGTTTTAGAAGTAAAGGACAACAACGGATCAAACATCTTCAAGGAAGTATTACATGATCTTTCCCTGTTCATAAAAAAAGAAAGAGCTCCTCAAAAGAAATAAAAGCTTTACAAGTCTTACCAAAAATAAATCTGTTTAAGAGCAGATACAGTAAAATCTACATCCACAGTTTATGCTCTGGCATGTGGATGGACCACAAATCAAGGCAAAGTACATAAACGCTGTTTCAGCTAAGATACCGGATTCTTTCTGATCCATTTCCCCCTCCTATTTGCCCAACCATTTCACTCAACGGTACTAGATCTTACCTCTGTTTTCTCTGAGAAGCAGACAAGCTATCCTCTTTCCTTTTCCCTTTGTGGATCTCCTGAGTCTTCTTCAGGTTCTTTTGGCGGGCAAGTTCACGCTGGTTCCCACCTGTGAGATAATATACAGTTTATAAAGGTACTACTACTTTTTACACACAGTTTGCCTGGGTAGAAGCCTGTTATAAAGGGGGGTAAGGTTTGGCACAGTCTGTAGAGTTGGTATGACATCTTCTGTAGTTGGCAGTATCTTCCATCACAGTCTCCCCCTCCAGTGTACAATGGGAGGCATGAAAGCCTGACAGTTCTCACATTTAGGTTTCTACAGGTCATGTCCAAGAGATCACCAAAATCCATTCCAGAAACGCAATGCAGTTTCCCATAGAAGACTGAAGGCAGACCATCCACCAATAGCCCGGGCAAAATGATGACAGTAACTCATCCGAAGAGGAGCCATCCTCTCTATCTCAAACACATTCCAGCATCCAGTATAGCTTACAAATTAATTTTAGACTGAAAGAACAGCATTAAAATGAGGGCAGCCTGAGAGAGTTTATAAACTTCCTCAAACTCTTCCCAAGGCCTTCTAAGAAATCAAAAAGCAAATGGCTCTTTGGAATCCAGAAACATTCACCTGCTTTCAGTCTGTAATGCTGTCACACAAAATCACTGACGGATTCCATCACATTCTATGGTCGAGCACCATGAACTTTTTACGTCTTGCTCATACTTAGTTATGATCTTTACATGTATTTGTAGAAAGAATACACTCCTGCAGATGCCACTGAGAAGATGAGTAGTACAGTTAATACATATAGGAACTCTGGCTTTACTTTTTACTGGATGAAGTCCCCAAAACTACTTAACACAGGATTCATAATGTATTATTGGGCACTCATACCCCAGAAGCTCACATACTGCTATCAAATGCTGAAGTTGCCCTACTCTGGGAACCATGAAAGCAGAGAAGAATGCATAATACACAAGCAGCTGTATGTAGGTTTAATTCATTTTTGCTCCAAGGCAGCTGACATGTATGCAGTATGAGGCTACAGCAATGTTATGGTTTGAGAAAACCCGTAACAATTTATTGTCATTTAGAAAATCATTCTATCACCTGATGACCCTTCCTCACCTGCCAAGGGGAATTGGGAAAAAAACAAGGAAACACATGAGTTGAGATATAAGCAGATTTAATAGAATAAGATTAGATAATTAACTTTAATAGCGCTAAAGAACCAATATTGATCCCCATACCAATACAGAATATGCAAAGATTATACTCAGCCAATTCTATCCATAGGAAGCTGTGCACTCCCAGGAGGGGACAGTAAATGTCGGACACTGTGAGCACTATGGCTTCGGGGGGAATGGAAGGGCTCAGGGGTCCAGCACCGGGGCAAGAAGTTCTCAGGATGGCAGCCATCAAGAGAACTTCTCAGCAAACTTTCAAATTTATAGTGAATGTGACATTCATGGTATGAAATAATCCCGTTGGCCAGCTTGGGTCAAGTGCGCAGGTCTCACTTCTCCTTGTCCCTACACCTGGCAAGCCTGAAAACACTGAGACCTTGAAATCCACACACCATAGCTGGCTACAAAGTAAGTATTTTCACAAATTTAGACCCTAGAGTCTTCTAAAAGTGCAGTCTTCCCAAGTATTAGAAGAAAAATTAGTCCTGTGTCGCTTAAACCAGGACAGGCAGCTATGGAGCTTCAGCCCAAGATTTTGTTTATCTACTATATACCACAGACCCCCTTGCAAAAGAAGTGGGGCTGACAAAGCTGAAGTTAACACACAACCAAAACTCCCATTCCTCATCAAGACACCTTGTTCAGAATAAAATGACCTGCCACGTTCCCAAAGTGCCAGTCTTTCCTTAGTATCCACTTTGTTACAGCAGTTCTAGTCTGCTCCAACCTACCAGAGCTCATTTGCTTGCTTGGTATTTCTCCTTGCCCTGCTTCTTTTGGACTCAAAGTGTTGCAGATAAGCTAGGTGTAATCACTTGTGCTGTTGAACAAACATGATCCCATTTTTCTATGCTCAAAAATGAAAGCTCCATCGCCCCATAATTTCTGCTGTGCCTCTTTTCGGTCTCTCTCCACTCTCAAGACTACCTATGCCACCTTTCAATCTCAAAGATGGAGATCTATCCAATCTTCAGGTGCCTGTAATTTCAGGTATATGGAAGCAGTTTAAGACTAGGTACCTGCCATGTCAACAAGTAGACAAGAGCAACCCTGCAGAAGCAGGGCTTCTGTGCATTCTTCACACCAGTATGTGTACTGTCTGGAAAGAGGTGCCAAAAGCCCAAATGAAAACAGAGTATTATGACTGCTACTTCCTGAGGGCTGCTCCTGCCTTGGAAGATATACTTCATCTGCGACAGGACATCAAGTACTATCTTTTGAAAAAGTTAAGCGGCTCCACCCTCCTCACTAGCATTCAATGAGATCCTGTCCCCAAAGAAGGGGGGACCCTGTTTGTTCAGAAGGGCCACTATTTGTTCAGAAACTGAAGTAAAACAGATATCTATCTCTCGTAGTACTGGTGTTGATTAGAACTCGATGACTCATGAGCAGATGATACATTCCAGGCTATAAATGGTTCTTGAGTTTTGTGGTGCTCAGAAGGCATGGAATGTCATATGAACGAGTTAGCAGCAATGAAAGAACTCTTCTGTAGTGCTGCGTAAAGAAATGAAAGATCTTATTTTATCATAAAGAAAGAGAGGCAGGAAGTCAAAACACACTGCTATAGTCAGAATTCATACAGCAATTATCCTCCACCCTTACCCTTACGCACTTCCTTTTCATGCAAACATTGTGCAGGGTGTCTGCAGAGCTACTCCATACACGTGGTAAGATTGTAAACTTCAGAACCAAATTGAATGGCATCACTGCAAAAGCTTGGCTGCTACTTCTGCACAGCAAAGCAGAGCAGGTAAAAAAGTAGAGCAATACAGTATGCACAGAAAGCCTACAGAACCAAACAACTATTTGAAAAGAAACTTACTTGTACCATCCCTGATTCCAAGTAAACGTTGCCAAGGACTGTTTGGCCCCAGTACTTCACCTAGGATGCAGAATGAGTATCCCTAGCTCCAAGGGAGACAGTGCTGTTTTCTACATTCTGTAACATCAACCTAAATCTTCCATGAAGTGTGATCCAGTCCTGCGAGAAGACAATTCAGCCTCCTGTAACGTGAAATTCAAGCATGAACTGCCACATAAAGGCCAGTACACCCTTCCTGCTTATACCTATGCTTGAACATCCCCATCCTTGCCTGCCTCTGCAAGACATGCCTTAGTTCAACTCGTCTCTGCTCTTCCAACTCCAAGATCCAGCTATTCTTGAAGAGAAAGATAAGCAAAAGACCTCTGAGTAGCACTGGAACAAGCGGTAATCATCTCTATTGTAAGGAGGTCAACGAGAATGGCAGTAAGGATTGGCTACTGAGGTCATCATCCACGGAGTTCTTTCTGAGCAGCAAAGGATCTAATCACATGTCAGAACTTAAAGCAGTAGTGTCTGCCACTGTGTCCCAAAAATAGAACGCAAAAGTAAACAGAGCTGTTTGATGCAAGAACAAAGCAATAATGGAAGACAAGTGACACAAGCCCCCTCCAATTCATCGAGTCATCACCATCTTCACCAATTTATTCTGTTTGCAGGTACCCTGAAATTTGGCAGTGTAACAGGTATCATGAATTTATGAACTTGGAGTCACCATCAGTAGTTGCTAATAAGCAATTCATTCTTAGTCTATTTCACTGTATGTCCATTTGATATCACAGGCTCTAGAGTCCCGGTCTGATTGATAACAAAGCACTGAACACTGGAAACATGTACTAAACTGAAGACTAGACTGTGTGGTTGCACACTACAACTTCCACACCTCTAGTATTTCAGACACTGCATCCGACTAGGTCATCCTAAAATTAAATGCTATGATTCTGCTACGTTCAGGTGTGGGATGCTGTACCTCTTTTTAACCTTAAGCTATGTTTATTTTAGCAACACGCAGAACGGGGGGAGGGGGGAGGGGGGGGAATCAACAAAAGCCATAAATCTGCCTCTTCCTCACATTCAAAGTCTGATCTGTGCACAAACTGTTTATGATCCAGGTCTTCATTTGCACTTCCAGCAGTGTGGTGGCTTCGAAGGCACATGTTTTTAAGTGTGCATGCAAAAGCACCTCCTCCATAAACACAAGTAGTTTTTGTATTGCCAAGTATAATATGCAGAACCCAAAACAGCAACACCCACCAGTTAGGTGAGCCGGAGTATTGTAGGTTTGGTTCACAGTTCTCCGCCATTTTAGAGCAGATACACCAACGTTACTTTTGAATAAGGGGATGATTAGCGAGTCCTGTTGCCCTTTTCTCCGGCAGCCTTAACAACCACCACTTCTGCAACGTAGTGTTAAGTATTCGTCAGGGACATAAAAGCCCTTTATTTACAGCCTGGACAGTAGCCAGGGCTGAAACTGAGCGTTACTGTTGTCCCAGCAGATCACCATCTTTCTTCCTCCTACCACCCGCAAACCTACGCCACCGGACGGGGCGAGGATGTTTTTACTCCGAGCCCAGGAC